CCATAAACTGAACATTATCTACCTCCTCTATATGAGACTTCGTTGCCCTGATTTTAGATTGTAAATTTCCCCAAACATTCATCTTCCATGTAATAATCTTTTGTTTTAATAGCTGGAGCTTTTTGAAATTTGGAAACCTTTCCAACCATCAACGGTAGTATTTTCAAGAAGTTTTCAATCAAGCTGAGTAAAAATCTTTCTAATAGCCATGCCAATTCAAATCTAAATGGGGATAATCCAGACAAGAAACCGTTAGTGTTAAGGAGAAGAGGGACATAATCAGAAGAGATTTTTGATAGGGCTTTCACACTTTTTTTTGGGAAATGAGTAACAAACTCAGAAGAAACAAGAAACCTGTCTAACCTTGTCAAAATAGGATCTTATAAATTATGATTGGACGAGGTATAGTTAGCCCCAATATATGGAAGATCAATCAATTCATGGTGCTGTATAAAACCTTCAAACAATCTCATACAGGAAGACATAAAAGGAGAAGATGAAGATTTACTTGGCCATCTAATAATATTAAAGTTACCACAAACCAACCAAACTACATTCACATTTAACTGATTATTTGCTAGTTCCTCAAAAAAAGCAGATCTGATAGAAGCTCTGTTAGGTCCATACCACAGATAAACACCAAGAAAAATTATCTGGCTCCTTAAAAATAATGGAAATGTGTGTACTTGAAAGAATGTTTTGTGAAGCATTCAAAACTGAAGGGTCCCAAATGACCCAAATACCTCCAGAAGGACCAGAAGCATCTACTCCCAAAAAATCTAGGGAGCTATTTCCCAAAACCAATCTGGCAGTACGAAGAATCGCAACCTCCAATTTAGTTTCCTGAAGAAACAAGAGATCAAGCCTGTCCTTTTTGCATCTCTCATGCGTTGAGCACTATTGAGGCCCTTGACATTCCAACATAACACTTTCATAGAGACTGGTAACTATCTCTATGTTTGGTGACCTTTAAAAGACCGACAAACATAGGCAACGAAGGTTCAGAATGTGCACGAGGACAAGCACTTACCTTACAGTGGTTATAGTTAATATGGCATACCAAATTATCAAGTTCTCTTTGAAGCCTTCATTTCTTCTTGAACTTTTGATTTTTGTTCCCAACAACCTTTCTTCTAGTTCTTTTTTATGCTTCTCCTTTAGGATATTTGTAATGACGTCAAGAGGGTCACTGTAACGCACATTAATTGCATCCAAAACTGTACGAACTTCCAAAGGTCAGATCACTAAGGACATGCCATCGTTGACATTGTCATTGTCATCATATCCTTCAAAATTATGTACTACAAGAATTTCATCATCAGCATCATCACTCGGTGATCTCATAGTAATAAGAGGAACTATAAGAGGTTCTTCCAACTCATGTTCTTTGAGGCATCGGCTACTCTCATTCTTATGCGTCATTAACTGCTTGGAAGAAACCCTCCCAAATAGACTTTTCTGCTACATCTTTTCTTCTTCAGATTTCCTCTCTTAACTCGCATCAGAGAAAGAGCCAACTTGAAACTTAACAATTGTGTTATTTTGGGTTACTTGTGGGATGAGAGCTTATTTTAAAAGCTGCAAAATTTTCTTATCTTTGATGGAAGTTTATGGGAAGGAATTAATTGGCTACTCGTCCAAACATCCAAAGGGAAACTTTCCAAAAGCTTCCAACCGGTTATGGCAGGTAATATCATTGCTTTTCAAAACAGATGATTTTTGACAAGGAATTTCCATAGCAGATTTGTTTAACGTCTTCCCTCATCATTGCATGAAACCTTGCACACTCCAACGTGAAGGTGAAATCCCATCGTAACCCCGAGTGCTCAGCAATTGGAAAGGGAAACTTATTTCATGCGGGCTAGACCATATGCAGTCCAGAAAATGTAAAGCATCATTTTTAAAGATGGATGCAAGTAGGTGTTTTGTCTAAAAACAATGGAAACTAATGTTCTAATGTTTTCTTACTAGAATTATTATTTTTAGTTTTTAAAATTTATTTATTTTGTCATATTCGTGATCTCCATGTTAGAGATTACTTGTCTTTAAAAATTAAGTCTTAAAATCCATCTCAAAAATAGATTTATTAAGAGGCTCGCATTTCTACGTATCAGGCTGACAGCATAGAAACTGGGCCCATTGGAAAGATTGCAAAACCCTGCGCTTCGCATAATTGAAATGCTGGAAAAATTATATGTTTGCCTTGCGAATACCTCCTCTATCGGTGCAAATCTAATGAAGGAGTATTTTTTAGACCCCTAAAGGTTTACCACCTTGACGCCTCTACTTTAGGCATGGAACACCCCTAATGGAGTTTCTATCGTTATACTCCAAGAGTCAGAAACTATGCAGCCAACCTGGAGTAACTCGACTGGACCTAAGTTGGGCTAAGTCAGGCCAAGCCAAAAAGTATTAAAAAAAAATAAAAAAACTCAAAAAATAGAAAAAATATGTTTAAAGTAAACATAAAAAAGTAGTGAAGTTGATTTTGAAAAGAAAAAAAAAATTGTGATGAGAGTATTTTAGAAATAGGGATTGTATACAATGAGACCATTTACTTTGATACAAGGTGGTCACGATTATTTACAATCATCTTATGTGAAATTCAATGGCTTGTATGTGTCACAAAGTTTAAAAAAATTTCTTTTGAAGTTTGAGCTTGGTCAATGGAATAATGTAGCTACCCAATTTCACATCCAATGGTCAAGATAAATGTGAAATAATATATATAAACAAAGAAAAGTATCAAAAACTGCCAAAACACTTTCCAATCTTTGTCAAAATGATAGAAAACATAAAAATATATTACAAGTGAATTTCTTATTTTATTTAATTTTTTATAATTTTTTTTGAATTTTTGTCGAAGATCCCTAAGTCGGACAACCCAACTCAAGAATACTCATACTCACTAAGTTCGCAAGTCCAAATTTCTCAAGCGAGTCCAAGTTCGCTCACTCAAGTTTTCCTTCATGGCTTCATGCACCTCAAAAGTTCATAGGACAAAAAGAGGTTCTTTTGGAGGTCTCATCTTATTCTTTCTACGGGCTCCCAGAAGCTATTATAATCGAGGCTAATTATTGCTAATATACTTATATTTTAATAAAATCAAAAAAAAATCTTCAATTTTTCAAAACCTCGCCTATACTTTTTTTTCTCATTTTTTGGTTTTTTTCGGACGAAAATACTCTTCACGATAGTCTTTTTACCATAAAATATATTAAGCTTTACGGTAATTTAAATACCGTAATAAGTTAAAAGATCATTACGGCACTTAAAATACCGTAATAGATTGAAGTAGTATTACGATAATTTATTTACCATAAAAGTTCACCTACTCTTTACGGCAATCTTGGTACCATAATGCTTTCTCCCTCATCCCATCATTATCAGATTGTTCGGGGGTATAGAAAGTTTCGCACCATTCAGTAACAACCTTGCTGGGCCCTTCCATTTCGGAATCACCTCACAAATTCTCCAGGGATTTGAAAAGCCACTGCTTCAAGTGCCATGGCTCTTCTAAAGAGAGAAAGAGCCTTTCCCAAAAGCAAATTACAAGAGTAGAGAGAGAGAACTTTCTACTTTTGTGGATACTGCCTGTGAACTCCTTTTATCAGGCTCAAATCTCCCCACCGGAACTTGAAGCTGCCTCGATCCTGCCTGCCACTGCATCAAAAAGAGAGATGCAAAACATCATATCGTGAAGAATACCTTCGTAGCTTAGTCATTAGAATAACACAAACCCATCTTTACTAAAGGCAATGGTCTTGTTCACAGGGAAATACCGGTAAAAAACAAGTAAAAAATCCCCTGTACTGGACTTTGTCACAAAAGGATCCTCGCGCATGATACGAGAACAAGCTCGTCTAGTGGCTCCAAATTTAGCACAAATTTACTAGAAATGAAAATCAACTTGACAATGCTTTGTTTGAGTAAAGGCAACTGTATCAGATAGGTATATAAAAAGCTACATGTACGAAGTGCAGTGAACAATATATTGTGTACAGAAATTGGGATTAAGTCTTCCCAAAACAGGTCTCGCAAAACAAGAGAGCCGAAATGAGGAAAAAATAGCAGGTAGCTTCACACTTAAAAGATGGTACCCAGTTTCGGTGGTTGCCAGCATGAGGATCTAGTGTTCCTATATTGTCCCAATTTAGTTGGCAGTCTGGTCACATTCTCGCCATACATTCAAGCACTAGTGGGTTTTAGAGACAGAAAAACTGGGTGATGGAATCAATATTACAGCGAATGTGAAATCTTAACCAAAGTTCATCTTAGGAGTAGATCGTTACATTCTAAAAGTGAAGATTATAGTGCGTCCAAGGCAAATTCAAAAAGCGGAAAGAGGTCTTCGGTTTGAAGCTTTTCAATTATTACGATAATTAAAGTACCATAATATTATTACGATAATTAAAATACCGTAATACTACTTCAAAGTATTACAATTTAAAGCTTTTCAACTATTACGGTAATTAAAATATCGTAATACTATTACATTAATTAAATTCCGTAATACTAGTTTAAGGTATTATGGTATTCTAATTACCATAATACTCCTTCAACTTATTATGAAATTTCAATTACTGTAAAGCTTAGTATCTATTATGGTAAAAAGACTACCGTGAAAGTTATTTTAGTACAAAAAAAGCCGAAAATCGTAAGAAAGGGTGTACGAAAGGTTTTAAAAAATTGAGGTTTTTTCTTTTTTTTTTTTCCAATTATAGTAAAATATAAGTATATTAGCAATAATTTCCCTATAATCTATCACCACAAGAATATAAGATGAACTTAAAATATGACCATCTAAGGTTAAATGACTTGTGCAGTCGGTCCATTATCCCAACGGTTAAATTATAGCGGCCATATCGAACGAAACTAAGAGGCATTCTAGCTTAAGACTCTTCTCTGAACCACTTGAAACTTCTTAATAAATGCATCCTTGTGCAAAAAAGAAACTGATTGCAAACTAATAAAAATCCATTCAGTAGGCAACAGGGATATGGTCCGACCAACACAAAATCCGCATTGGTTTTCTTTCTCAAGATCATTGTAGTCAACTATTTTGCCTTTTCCAATCATAAAAAAAATTCCATTTACAAATTACTCCACCAAATTATGGCCCAAGTAATCAAGTTACATCGAAATAGTTCACTATTCCGTAGTTCACACCGCGTCTTTAATATCGATCAAGGGTTTGAACACCTTCCACAAATACCATGGAAAATCAGTACACAAATGGGTTATCTCTTGCACGAAAGACAATAGGCAGAAAGAACGGCAGCCCCAGTTAGTGAAACGCCAAGGGCTGTCCATGCTTTCATAGTTAGCCAACTCGATCGTTTGGCAGGGACTTCCAGTAGTGTCTTTAACTGTCATTAAGCAAAAAGAGAGAGCTGAGAATCATGAGTTGTATAATAATAAATGTATCTAGAAAATGGAAGTTCACTAATGTAATAGAACGGAAAATATTCATAGCAATCAGCTCAAAAAGCAGGCTACCATGAATTTAAACAATAATTAACCCTCCCAGTCCTTAAAATAGAGAATATTTTCATGTTTCTTGCTAAGAATCAACATAGGAAAATCAGAAAACCAGAATATTATGTAAATAAATAAATAAATCAGAAAATAAAGATAAAATAAAAGATAAGAAATTATACCCTCTCAAGGTCTGCAAGGGAGTATACCCTAAAAGATTTTTTCACAAAATTCAACAACAACCTCTTTTCTTGTCTCTATTTTTTAATAGTCTAATGGTTACATATTTTTTAAAAAAAAAGAAAAAAAGAAAAAAAACCAAAAACCTAACATGTTTCTTAAGAAACCCTAATCAGATCCTAAGCCTTCATCTTTAAAAAGATAAAATTCCAATCTACCCCTCAAATCCCCCCAACCAAGAAAGATAAAATAACAAAGAAAACTGAAAACCCAAAATAACTCCAAACCTAAATTTACAAAACAGTAAAATAAAAAAAATTGAAATACCCATTACATCATTCTCCCAGGGTCAGGAGAAGCTCGACCTCGAGCTTCTTGAATTCTAATCCTCTAGAGGCCATTTCAATAATTGGTGATGGACTACCACCATTTGCCTCGGTACCTTATCTTCATCAATGAAACAATTGATCACACACTTGAAATACAGTTTCTAGTGGAACTCTTGAATACTCAATTTAATCTTACTTCTCCTTCGAGCTCAAAGAGTCGTATTTCAGATACCACAACTAGCATATCTTCTTCATCATAATTGATTGTCAAAATTTGTAGCACTTTTGGGTTGTTGTCAATATCTGTTGCACTGAGATCTAGCTCTTTATTTTCTTCTTCCTCTTATTGCAATCTACTAAGCAGATCTTGTACATTTTATTGTATTACTCTGCCAATACATTCTATCATTTGATCCAATTAATCAAAACGCTCAATAATTGGATCATGATCATTATCATCCAAACCTTATCGCAACTATTTGAGTTCAGCTACACTCCATATTTGAATTGGAAGATGTTTATGAGGGTATCATGTTGGATGGGTCTTGAGATCTAACACTACTTGATGTAGAGAAAAGCTCTAATGCAACTTGATGCAGGGAGAAAGGGGAAGAAAAATTAAATCAACAAATAAAGATAAAAACAAATTGTTGAGAGATTATACCCTCTCAGGGTCTGCAAGAAAGTCCACCCTAAAAGATCTCTTCACAAGATCCAAAAACAAACTTTTTTCTCGATTTTTTACTGGTCCAATGGTTAATTTAGAAAATAAAATAAACCTAAAACCTAACTTGTTCCTTAAGAAAGCCAAATCAAATCATAACTCATAATCTTTTAAAAAATAAACTTCCAATTCTACCCCTCAAATCTAGACAACCAAGAAGACAAAAATCATCACTTAAGAAAATTAGAAAAACAAAAGAACCCGAAGCCTAAATCTAGAAAACAGTGTAAAATAAATTTTTTTTGAAACACCCATTACACCAAATAGTAAACTTTTGGTAATTAGAGCACTTAAAGATACTCGAGGGAAATTGTGATTCTTAACTGGAACTGGTTGACCCCAATTCTTCTTGATTCCTAGCACATGCCCTTTTCCAACAACTGCAACCACTGAAGCATGCTCACTAGCAACTTTGTTTAACGTGGAGGACATATACCTGAAAGATACACGTTGGTCAAAGACAAATAAACTTGGGAGAAGAAGAGAAAGTAGAGAAGAAGTAGAGAATAAGTAACTGCAATATGAACCAAGAGACGTGATAATTCAATCTAGGGCGGTAACATACAGAGAAATGCAATAGTCTTGAAGTAGAGTGCGATTATAAACAGTTTGCAGAAGCATTAGCAGAGAAACCTACTAGTGTGGAGCTATAACAATGGTTGGACAATTATCAATAAGAAAAAAAAAAAAGTAGTTTCTAAGAGATTTCAGACATTCGCACATTTGCAACAACTGTAATGTTGCTTAATCAAATAAGTGCTCTATAGAGAGCCCATATTATTATAGATCCTTTTTCTTACCTTTTCTCAATCAGTACCATAGAACTTGTAATAATCATTTCCATCTACTCTACCCACAACAACTGAGAATTATATTGCCTTTTCCTATCCCAAATAGCTCCTGACTCAAGAAAACGGAGTTCCACTCATGAAATTGACAAGATTGCCTCAAGAGAATAACAGAAGAATGCCATTGAGAAGCAGCACTAGGAATGACAATGAAAGCCTCGATGAAAGAACGAAAAAGAAGGCTCATCCATAGCTACAACTTGCCTGTTCTCTCAAGTTGCAAGCTCCATTTTTAGGTGATTTTTAAGTTTGAATTTCATACCCTTCAGCCATGTACAAAAAGCATAAAGACAGAATGATAGGAGAAGTACGTTATTAGGGAGTTAGGCAGTACCTCTAAGCAAAGTGACACCTGGTGGCTCACATGGTCCCTTGTAGGAAAACTAAGTTGTGCCCCTCCTAGGAGCACAGACCCAAGCCCAAGCTGAAAGCTTGGAACCTACTTCACACACAGGTGTGCCTAACAATACTGGCAAAAGCCCAAGACAGTTGTGATGAAGGGCAAAATTCTTCTTATTTTTTATTTCTATTCAATTTCAATTATGTATATTGTAGTTTTAATTTTAAAGTTTATTTCTACGGTTTTTAGTTTTTTAGGGATTCTAAGGTTTTTATTTTTTATTTATTATTCACAAGTACTATTCATGGTGCTATCAGTTACTATCCATAGTTATTGTTCACATGTTACTATTCACGTGTTATTGTTCATAGTTATCAGGTGGTTTTAGAGCATAGTCGATTCTTTTGGATCGTGGTGTTTATCGATAAGCATCATGGCTCGTGGACACCATTTATGCGTTGGAGGGACCATTTCTTATTTTGTGCCGAAGCTATTTGTAATGCACAGGTAGAAACAGGTGAAATCAAAGGACATTACTTGAATGCTACTGTAGGTACATGCGAAGAAATGATCAAAAGGGCCGTATTTGCTAGAGAATTGGGAGTTCCTATCGTAATGCATGACTACTTAACAGGAGGATTCACTGCAAATATTAGTTTGGCCCATATGGCCGGGTATCGGGACTGAACCCATCCGATGAGAACAAAACCTCCAAGCTCTCAGAGAGATAGAGAACAAAATTTGGAGAAGGCATGTAGAGGAGCTGAACCTACGCTTGGCGCCAAAACTAGCCCCGACACACTATGATGATGGTAGTGAATCGAATGCTATTTCGAGAACCCGTTCCATGCCAACGCTCTGTATCGGGAGCCTCATGGTCGGGAGTGTGATCTAGTGAAGTTTGATGAAAAACCAATAGGTTTGGATCTTCAATCGAACTTATCATTCCAAAGTGATCACATATTTGATGAAGATCCAATATTTGATGAAGAGCAAGATCAAAGGAAAGAAGTTATCCTTAAGGTAGAAAGGATATCTAATTTTCTTATCAATGGTGAGGTTGAGACTCAAGATGTTGCCTTGATCCCAGAGGAGATCGAGCCTTTGGAGATGCATGACGAAGAAACATATACATACGTGGTGTGTCCTAAGGTTAAGTTTAAGCAATTTCAGCAAGTTTGTGGCTGAAAAATCAACAACCAATAACCCTTTCTTCAAGGGCTTATCATGTTAAAGGCTATGTTTTGATTAGTGCAGTAACCCAAAGGTCTCAGGATCGTGTTTATGATGTTTGAGTTGAAGAAAATTGCGAGGAAAATTTCATATTATCTCATTTTAAAACTCGAGGACGAGGTTTCTCCAACCAAGGGAGAATGATACAGAATGATGCAGATAAAAAATAAGTTGATTCAAAATCTAATTTTATTTTTCATATTTTTATTTGAATGCAGTTTCCATAGGGCTGCAGCCCTATTTATTGATGTTGGGCTCTGCTATCAGCACCGTCCAAGTATTTGGACGGTGCAGATCTTGCACATTTACCGATGAAGGAGACAAGGCTTCTAATGCCCCCGGTTGCCCGTCCTTTCATTTCTATTTTCTACCCTACTTTTGGGCCACAACATAAACAGCATCCAAGCCCTTTGCCTGCTGCCCTATCACGAAACTCTTCGTTTCTTATCTATGAGAAAAAAAACGTTTAGATTCTAAAAGAATACAGCTGAATTTCTCAAAGAACACAAATGAATCAGCAACATTGTATTGTATTAGCTGCAACCTTTGTTCAATAGGTTCGTTTTAGGATCAGCTCAAGGGAGAGTAACCCCAAAGGAGATAGAATAAGAGAGTATGGAGGGCTATTGCTTTAGTCTTCATCTTGAAGTTGCCGATAAGTTCTTAGAGTCAATAGTAACAATTTAGAAACAGCTGATTAAGGGTTTTAGTTAGTTTAGTAGTCTCTGTTATGGACATGGGTTTGGAATGATAAGTCTCTGTTATGGACATGGGGCTCGGGATGATAAGAGAGATAAGAAGGCAAAGCCCTTAGACATTGTCGATTCATGGAGTAAGGGTTTTGGCTTTTGTTTCTTGTATGTTAGTTAAATGAAACTGTAGATTTATATATATAAATAACGCCTGGTATTTTTCAAGGTTTAAGTACCTTGTTTCTTAGGCTGACATTGGGGTCTTTCTCATTTCTACTAAATCTTAGGCCTACCACTAAGTACTAACAGATTTATTGTTTTTTCTTTTGGGGTTTCAGTTGATTCTGATATGTGTCGTTCATTTTCTCAATTGTGTTGTTCAGTTTCTCAATTTTGGCTTCACATTACATGGGGAGAGAGAGATCAGTTGACTCTGATATCTGCAATTCAGTTTTATAGGTTTTGGCTTCACCTTGCATGAAGAGAGAGAGACATCATTTATCCCCTAACTATCTTTATGGTGCATTCAGTTCATTGAATTGAGCTAATTTTTATTATATTTCACTGGCAGAGAGAAGACTTTAGTTTCTTATGAATTATCATTTTCTTTTTTCATTTTTCTGTGCTTTTTTAATCCATATAACTGGTCTTGAGGTTTCAAGCCGAAACATAGTGGAGATCATATTTCAAGCAAGCTGGTTAAAGAAAAAAAAAAGATCAAACTCTTTTCTTTAAAGGATCGAACTCTTTTCTTTCTCTTACTCTGGTTACAGAGAACGATGGTTCATAATTGAAGGGGCTGGTCCTCCTAACTGCAGAGAGCGTATGGAGATGAGAGAGACTATCGAGATAAGGGAAAAGAGGAAAAAACAGCATTATAAGAATAAAAGAATTTCAGAAAAGGACAGGGTTTACCGGGGCTATAGGTGCCCCATTTTCGTTGACTTCATCAAATCAATCTCACCTTCCAAATTAATCAACGGTGAGGAGCGCTGCCACCTGGCTTATTTTGATAGAGCTGCAGCCCTATCAAAACATTTTCCTTTTATTTTTTAGAAATGTGGGTTCGAACTCTGGGCCACTTTGTGCAAAAAATGCCAATGGTTAGGACAATATCCAGTCTACCCCTCTCAAGACCCTGTGCAAGCGGGACCATAACCGGGTTATGGCCCATAGAGATGTGGGTAACTATCTTTCTTTTATTATTTATTTAGGGTTAACTATTAGAAATAGATTTAATCCAGGTTTTTTGTTTAGTAGATAAAATCCGTCTTCTTGGATTGAGTCTATTTTTTTTTGGCAAGTTTTTATCTCTTTAAAATGCATCATCAAAATAGTAGATAAAGTCATCTTATTAGTAGTCAACTTAATAGTAGATAGCGTCATCTTATTAGTAGATAAGGTTTTGTGTGTTTTTTCCTTTAGAAGTTAGATCTTATGAGATAAGGACATATTAGTACTAGAAGGGAAGGAGTGCGTCACTAGATAAGGCCATGTTATGTTGTAGATAAAGCACAGTTAAGGGTGGGGCGTGCTCTTTAAAAGCAAAAGTTGGACTTACATTGTAGGAATTGAGTTTAATTGAATGAAAAAGAAAGTTCTTTGTAGAGAGAGAGAGCCATTTTGTGAGTGTTTTTTCTTCTCCTTTGCTTGTAGGCCAGTGCCGGAATACTCAAATCCGCACATTTTCGTTCCTTTTGCTTGCGTTGTCCTTCTTGAATTTTACTTTTCTCTAACACACGGTTATTTTTATCGGCTGTTAGTCGCTAGCAAATTTATACTGTGTCAGGAACCAACAACTTCACCTTTCAATTCTCCTTTGAAAGTTGAACCAAGTTGACTTAGGCATAAGTCGTATCGAAAATCAGCAGGCTGTAGATTGGGATCTGGCACCAATTTTCGATACTTAATTAGATGATGAACAAGATCTTGTAAAAGATCCAATCTATAATGATCAAGATTATGTGGGCGAAATGATCAATGACGAAGAAAAAGATAAAGATCTTAAGGATATCAAAGAGGTGGAACATTTAGGAGATTTAGGGCATGGGAATCATAGTAGCGCGGTGGAAGTATGGCTGACTCAAAACCTACAAATTGTGGGCCTGATTTCAGAGAGTAATGAAATAGCTATGGAGAAAGCCTTTAGAGGACAGAAAATTGAGTTTGAAGTTTCCCACACAATTTTCAGAAGGGTAAGCATTCTTGCACTCAGCATCCTATGGGGAACTTTGTATCCTAAAATTCAGTATCCTCTTCTTATCATGCCTTCATATTAGCTCTATCTTCTCTTCAAATACACTCCTGTAACTCACGCCCTCAATGGGAAGCTTCCATGGGTGATGAGATGCATGCACTTGAGCGAAATACTACAAGGGAAATCACTAACCTTGCACAAGAGAAGAAGGTCATAGCATGTTGGTGGATATACACTGTGAAATACAAAGCTGATGGCACCATTAAAAGGTATAAGGCTAGATTGGTTGCAAAAAGCTTCACTCAAACTCTTAGCATAGACGACGAAGATACTTTTGCTGTTGTGGCGAAGTTGAGCATTGTGAGGATCATTCTTTCTCTAACTGCTAATAAATCTCGGCCTCTCCACCAAGTAGATATAAAGAATGCATTCTTTCATGGAGACATTCAAGAAGAAATCTACATGGTCATCCTTCCAGGTTTTTAGATTAAGGAGGGGATGCGAAAGTTGTGCAAGTTAAAGAAGGCGATATATAGAGTTAAACAATCTCCTAGAGCGTGGTTTGAAAAATTCAGTGCGGCAATTGAAATTTGAGTTTAAAAGAAGTCAGCTACGCTCTTTGTATAGAAGAATAGCGTTCGGTTTACAGCCCTTATAGTGCATGTTGATGATATTGTTATGATAGGGGACAATGTGAAGGACATTGAGGATCTTAAATCATATGTAAGCAAGGTGTTCAATACCAAAGATCTAGGTCCCCCTTAAGTATTTTTTGGGAATTGAAGTGGCAAGATTAAAGAAAGGGATGGCCATCTCCCAAAGAAAATATGTGTTGCACCTATTACAATAAACTGGGATGTTGGGATGTAGACAAGCTGATGCTCCTATAGAAGTCAATCATGAACTTCATGGAGAAAGGGGAAAGTTGCTCAAAGATCCTAGGTAGTATTAGTGAATAGTACGCAAGCTTATATACCTCACAATCACATGACCAGACCTCTCTTATGCAGTGAGTGTGGTGAGCCAATTTATTCATGCACCACGTAAACCACATCTTGATGCAATATATCGAATATGAGATATCTCAAATCTGCTCCAAGGAGGGGATATTTTTTTCAATCAAGGGCATTCTGATGTTGCTATTTATACAGATGTTGACTGGGTTAGATGCCAAATAAATAAGAGATCCACAGCTGGGCTATTGAACCTTTGTTTTAGGAAATCTAGTTTCTTAGAAAAGCAAGACAAAAAATAAGGTGGCAAGATCAAGTGCAGAAGCAGAATACATGGCTATGGCTCATGGTACATGCGAAGTAATATGGATCAAAGTCGTTCTATTTGAATTGGGAGTTGAATTTAAGCTTCCCATGATTTTGTACTGTGACAATGAAGCTGACAGTATTTCATGAAAGGACTAAACACATTGAAATATATTGCCACTTCATTTGCCAAGATCATTCATACTCTTCATGTGCAGGCTAAAGATCAACATGTAGATATCTTCACTACAATTGTTGGAGGGGACAAACTAAAAGATATCACAAGAAAGCTATGCATGATTGATATCTATGCACCAGCTTGAGAAAGTGTTGGAAATAATTAAGCATTTTTGTCTTTCATGGGTATAAATGTCTTTCATTTTGTTTTTTTTTTTTTGCGGATAATGTCTTCCATTTTGTTTAGGACTTCTACATCCTATTTCATGAAAGAGTAGTATTTTAATTAGGTCAACATATCAATATAAATAAGAGGTGTGTGTTGGTCTTTCTTGACCAACACACCACTCTCCCTTCTTTTTTTTTGGGTAATTCTATGGGAAAGATAGGCCCCTACCTGTTTTTTCAATAGATTAGAGAGTTACATTTTGAAGGTGTTAATTGGGGGTGTTAGCGGTAGGAATGGATACCACAATGTGGTAACTGGGTGTAGGGATGCTACCACCATGACCCCAGCCCCTTCTCTTCCTCTTTTCTTCTCTTCCCCACCCCTCTCTCTCC